TTTTGCAAACGAAGCTGCCACTAACACCACGAAGATTCTAGAGGATATCACATACGAAAAGGAGGCGACATTATCTGCCAGGCAATATGTTACTTGTAAGTCCTTCGTCCAATTTAAAAGCCTCTTTCATCTTCTTATGGAGCAATAAGTATGTTGATTACCGCATTGAATTTCACTCTTTTCATTGACCGTTTTCATCGAACAACTTCTTCATAAGAAACTCGTTGTTCTAAAGACTGGTGTGGACTGTTTATGTTTGCTTCAGTTAAAAGCTCAACAAGGGCACAAATGCGAAATCGTAATCAAGTTCTAGCTAATTCTAGCAATAATTTAGATTATCCCAATGGAAAAGATAACAGACCTTGCGTTACTTAGTGATTTAGGAACTGTGTCCTTAAGAAGCTCATAGCAAAGTCTGCTGAGGAGCTGCATTCACTGGACTCATCACACTTTTAATTCAATGCAAAATAAACAATGTATTCTTCATCAGCTGTGGATGTTATCATCGGAGATGTACGCCAGGCACTTGAGGAATACAGTACTACTGCATCGCAGGCCTTGACGCACTCAACCGAGGCCTGGCGCAATACAATGGAAAGAAACTTTACTCAATATTCCTGGAACATTACTGAACATACAAGAATGGCTGAAAACATGTCTGCTCATGTCGAGGAAACTTTAACGCGGGTATATAACTTAACTGTAAATATGTTCTGGTGCCACTTATAGAATCGAAACTGGAAAGCTTAGCTAAGCTAACCTTGACCGGCTTATCCAAGATGCCATTGTAAAAAGTATAAAAAGTTCTTTCTTTGGTGAAGTTTTCCAAAATAGCGATATTGAGCTGTGTAGAGATTCACGTAATTAGCATGATGAGCTATTAAAAGGAAAGCTATTCTAACAACAAGCTTCCTTGAAATCCCCACAAAACTGTATTGTTGTTATTGTTAAATTCGATTCTTGCAGAAACTGGTAATGAGTGTATAAATAAATAAATGAATAAATAAACAATAAATAAATAAATGATAACTTGTTGATTTTATTTTGTGTCAAATGAGTCTGCTTATTGGATATTCATTTGTTATTTCACAGGTCGTTTCTCAGCTATTTCGTGCGAGAGAACTTGATGTCTCCATACAGCAAAAAGCAGCCAATTTTAATCAGATTCAGGAGAGCTGGAGTCAGTCACATGCACTCTTCATGGATTCAGTTGAGCAAGTTTATAACCATTCCAGGGAAATACAAGCGATCTTGATGGACACAAAGGTAGGAACGTTTTAGAGTTTTTAGTTAACTTAAGTCTTTTTTTTCTTTTTACTGCGCCATTCAATAACATGCGGACTCTAAAATTCAAAGCTCAACCGACAAATGCGCTTTTCGCTACCGTCAATCAAATGTTCGGCGCCTCCGGCAGCTCCTCCCAGCTTCCAACTACTGCCGAGCACTGTTTTGTCTGAACTATGTGCTCAACGATTTGATTACCGCATTAGATTCCGCATGTTATTGAAAGGCACAGTAAGTGAAAACAGTAAAAGTTCATCATGGCAAATATCGAAACTTGATAAACTACAGTATATAAAAATGTCTTAAATAAAAATTTAAACTCCCTAAAATTTATATACCTTTACCAAAAATAAATAAATGAATGAATAAGTAGTACCTGTCTTAACCGTTGCCGTTGACGTCACTGTCATTTCATCCTCTGCTTACTTTTCTTTGCAGAATCTACTTGAACAAGAATTGATAGCTTTGAATAATACCAGTGCTTCGTTATCAAACACAAATGCGACATTAAATGATACAAGAAATGTTTTGTTGACAGGGACCTCCATATTTGAGGTAATGATACCCCTTTTACCTTCACGTAATGTACAACTTTTTTCAGAAAATATTCTCCCGTAACTCCTAATTACCTGTGTTGTATCTAAATTGATTTGGGATTCAGTTTCAACCCCAAGAGTAATTGTTCTTGTGGCTCCAATCAGTGTACCTGTGTTCAGAGATTCCCAAATTTTCAACAAATCTAAATAAACGTAGCATAAAACCCAATGGTACAGAGAAGCTTTGGCAGAGCCAAAGTTGCAATCAAATTCTTGATCACAAGTTAACCTCAATTCCGCTTAACATCAGAGTAAAGCACGGAAACAGTTGCTTGAATGCTTACGACAATTTACCTGGAATTTAAAGAGAATACCTCCTAACAGTTTGACAAAATCGGAAAACTAGTTGTTGAAACAGTGAACTTCGTACAATTGTTTTCATCCAAATATAACTGAAGCTAACACTAAGTCTCCAAGACCGAATGGAGAAGAAAATCTAATTGATTGTTTCAAAATATTCTCTCTACAACAGCAATACCGCAGCACATTATCGCCTGTCAATGGGGAACTGGAGGTATCCATGCTGCAATACGAACAAGAACAAACTCAGTTTGTTATACGCATAGAAAGGGGCCGTAATCTACCACCGAAAGATCTTTCCAGTCAAACCTCAGACCCGTACGTTTTGGTATCAACTATCCCTGACTGGAATAACGAGGGAACTCAAAAGTCCTCCACAGTCAACGGTAATGCTCATCTACAATTATGAGTGCAACAATCAAACTCTATTATGAGACGGTGGAAAGGCTGGGTTAATTCTGTGACGCTTCTTTAAGTTTTTTTTTTAATTCACGAGTTCTTTGCTTGCTTTCTTTCTTTCTTTCTTTCTTTCTTTCTTTCTTTCTTTCTTTCTGTCTTTCTTTCTGTCAACTTTATTGTCAATTTTATTGTCAATTTTCACTCGTGAATTTGTGCGGTCGGGAATCCTTATGCGATACAAGGCGAGATTGCTGTCATCATTTTGTTAGCGAACGGGACTTTGGGCGCGATGCCCAACGAGTTTGCCAAGCAGAAAGGTCTCTGATGAGTCCCTTGGCCGGGACGAAACGAGCTGCGTTAGACTAGCCACGAACAATGTATTATCACAACTAACTGTCGACTTTATTGTCAATTTTCTTTGCTTTCGTTGCTGGAATGCCCTAGGGCTGGGCTTGTTGGAGAGTGCCTGTCGCTAGTTATCGCTTGCTCAACAATTAATCTCACCTCCACCTGTTTTACCTACCACGTGTTTTACTCTGTTGTGGCTCAATATGTGAATGCAAATTTCTTTGCGCTTTGGCAAAAGAAGAATTTCGTCATTTCAAGTTTCTAAGATCATAGCCTCTTGCATGTCTGGACAAATTAGCTGAATAAGTGATGTTCATCTGACGTCATCAAAACTCAAAAATCTAAACACTTAATCTTTTAGACTCTTTGACATTTAAAAAATGTGAAGGTGTGAAAATATTTGAAAGTTGTTCCCTGTCTTCGTTTCAAGAATAAACCGCTTTGAAATTTGTGTTTTCCCGGACGAACGGGTTTCCCAACGAATCGAACAGCTTCACGTCATTTTACATTGTAAATTTTCTGATGGTAATAGTTTACATATTCATGTAACAATAACATCTTGAAAGATTTCAAGTGAAGTCCAAGCATATTGATAATAGAATGATTTAAAATCTACGTCAACTCTTGTACAATTTTAACGCGGCCACACTGAGAAGATCACCTCCATATCCTTCGTGGTGGCTGCCTACTAAATCTAGTAATCGCCTCAAAATTCGGGTTGGGGCGATATTTGTCCTTTAAATCAACGCACTTTCGGACCCATTGTTCTAGTCAGGTAGCCTCTATTGGAGAAGTTCCTGACTCGTCAGAAACAAGGGATCTAAAGTGAAGTCTTTCTCGACAAAGCTTAACGCATCAGCGAAAATTTCTTATCTTAGTTTACTCCTGTTATCACTTCCAGGTGACCTCAACCCAGATTTCCCGTTTGGCGATGTATTTCGCTTCAAAATTGCCATGGAGCAGTTAAATTTCACTCAAGTGAGGCTGGCCATGTATGATGACGACCCTGATGACGAAGATGATTTCATGGGCGTGGCATTTATTGATTTATCTAAAGTGGGAAACTTCTTCGATAACATTATCACTGAATGGTATTCACTTATACCACAGGTAAATAACTTGCGGTAGATAAACACCACTGAGAAAATCGATACATCGTGCTTAAAAAAACTTAGCTGAACACGACTTGATCAGCTATTTACATTTTCTTGCTTTACAAAACAATAGTAATTTTTATGGCTTCGACGAAGCAATAGTTAACATTATAGAAGACGACAGAAGCCAGTACAACGCCTTTGCTACTGCCTTTAAGACTTTCAACTTCTCGGTTTTCACTTCCGTACAAATGAATCTAAATCTCAATCTATAAATATGACATAATGTTACACTACTGTTCGCATGAGATCCATATTTGTATGATGAAAAACGCAGGATTTCTATAGCGTAGTAAGAAATTCATTCCACCTGCATTTGACCTAGGACCTTGAGCATAGTTTTAATATCTGCGAATGGAATTTTTCAGTAATAGTGAGAGATATGACATAAACAATTATTATTTTGTTATGTGTTAGGACCCCTCCGATATAGCCAGCGGCAATTTTGTTCCATCCGGTGGACTTGGACTTACAGATGTATCGAACCTACTGGAAACAGAAGTCGACAAAATCAAGCAAAAGCTTGCAATAGCTGACGTTAAATTACAACAGGCTCAGAATCAAGCCTCTTATTTGGAGTCACTCGCTCACCAAATGGAACAGTGAGTAAAACACAAGTATTTGATTCTCTTTTTTGGAGGAGAGGATTAAAAACAACTGGATGTCGATTCAGCCTGCTCAATACAATCATTCGATTTCGCCAGGCAAAGAATGTCTAGTTTTTGTTTATCAACCACATATTCAGACTGGATGTGTCCCAACAAAACCAGCTGAGGCTAACGTTCAGTTTCACAAGAACTGTTAGTACATTGACAAGTTTTTCGATTCTTTTGGTATAATCTTTGATTCATCTACTGATGTGTTTCTCTTGTTGTTTATTTGAAGAACGTTTAATAGCAGTCGTTCCCACGGTACACCGGCTCTGTCAGCCATCGAGAGATATTCTGAGATAAGTGAGCTTGTGAACAGATCTCTGGATCTTGTGGAACAGGCAAACAACACGATTAACATGATCTACCAACAAGTGAGTGTCAATGTAGTTTAAGACTGATGTTAAAATTCGCTTTACTGTTTCCTCACAATTTTCTATAGGTCAACTTTTAGAATTAAGTTGTGAGTCAAGGCCTCTTTCTGAATGTTTCAGCTAGTGCCTTCATGTAATTCTTTGTGATGAAGCCATTCAGTTGGTGCTCATAGATACATCGCTAAAAGTGTTAATGAAAATGTTACGATTTTGTGTTTCCTTGTTTATCCCGGTCCATGTTGACATCATTTTCGTGTAAAATGCTGTTGTTGAGCTCTTAAAAAGTGTTCTGTCTCCAGAACTAATTTACCACCTCATCCTCCACAGCTCAGCGTATTTTCTTTAGATGACTTACAAATCAGTGCAGAAATCACGTGGCAAGAATTCTACGACCTTTACAACGGCACACTAGAAAGAAACATTACTGCACAGAGTGAGTATTACAACACGGTTCTCCATAAAAAGGCACTTCAAAAGAAACGTTTTGGAAAAGAAAACCAGAAGCTCATTGCACACATACCGTACCCATATTCGCAATTTTCCAATCAGAAGTCGTGTCTATTGTCCTGACATCTTGCGATATCAAGTGACTGACCTGATATGGCTACGATATCACGGTCACTTGGCCAAAGTTGGGCACGGTAAATATCTAACCGTACCTTTTTGGGACGTTTCGGCGGCATATCAAGCTCGTTTGGACTCGCCATCATGGGTATTTTGGCTCGACTACGTCTCGCTAAAATACGAACCATGGCTCAACTAAACTCACCTGATATGCCGCCGAAGCTTACCAAAAAGGTACGATTAAGTATAAACATCATACTTATTGATTTCTGTCACGCGCGGCAATTAACTGAACATTCAGAATAGAATCTGAACAGAAACATACTGAACAGGATCTTATTCCCCTTCTTAGATTTGGAAAGGACGATTCACGAGGCAAACTTAACGTTCATAAATTCTGTAAATATATGGAATCAAATCTATGAACAGTTTCCCGTCATCCAGGATGCAGCCGTTAAGTTCCAGAACGTTACAGGACAAGGTGAGTCTCATAAGGACTGTTTCATAGGCTCGGTTAGGATGCTTGGTTTAGGTAAGCTTTTGAAATAATAGCAGGGAATTGGTCTTATGAGTAAGAGCAAGAAAGTGAGATTCGAGACCTGCAGAAATTTAGTACAAAAAGGTCTCAAGATGCGTGATACTTTGACGAAAAAGTAATTCATGGATGCAAAAGATTGATCTTTAAATTGTCAAATATTTCATGTAAACTAGATGTTAAGTTTGGAGCTTAGCCCGCCACATGGTGTATACTTGGTGTGGTTCGCTCATTTCGACATACTGAAGAAGAAAAGCTAAGCTCTTTAATGAGCCTTTTCAGGCTAACATGAAACTTTGTCGGCGGCAGTATAAATAGAGCCAGCCCGATAAATGAAAAGAAAAGGCCTTAACTTCATTTTTCTGGTATTTATCACGTCAGCTCCGGCCGTGACACCGCCATTGATGGAGGCACAAATTAAAGCGACAAATACAAGTATACTATTATCTGGACTGGAGGCAAGGCTCACTGAGATGGAGCTCGTCCTGGAAACACTGTTAAATAAAACCGCTCTCATCAAAGAATCATCTAATGATGGAATAACCATGATAAATGAAGCCTTTACTAATGGTAAGTAGTTACTTCTTGATAGAGTTTTCGATAGAGTGTCGTAAACCAAAGCAATCACTCTAGCCAATCACAAAGGACACAGACAGCCTAGTGGACCAATCAAAAGTCGAAGCAAATACATGTAGCTGAGAGGAAGCGCGGGAAAATGTGAGCGAGTAAGTCATGATTGGTTCTTCTGATTGGATGTCAGTGGCGCGAGGTTTTTATTTCAATATTTAAGTTTTTGGCAAATCGCTACGACAAGTTTTAACACAGTCTTGTGAGATTTCCTAAGTAAATATATTTTCTCCGTCGAGGAACTAATGTTTTAAACGACGTCAGATGTTTAAACTTAAAACAAGCTTAATTTAATTTATTTTGTTTATTCCATTGTCTTGAGTTAATTGTGGCTTCCGTGTATTCAAGTGCTTTTAAGGTTTTTTGATTTTTTATAGAATCATCTATTTGTCGTCCAGCTCTGTTGCCAATGCTTAATATATTTTGTGAAGTTGGGTTCATTCCCTTGAAAACTCTGTTGTTATTGAGGCAACATTGTAGTAGCCTGTCTTATAAATTGCAGTCTGGGCCACTTTTTGTGAAAAAGACCCTCTTTCATACTATATTTCCCGTTTTCAAGGAGCTTTTTTCACTCTCTCCCGCCCCTTTAATTTCTCCGTCGTGGCCGTGGCCCTTAATTCATTTCACAATATAAGAAAAAACTGTAATTACCATTCGATGCATTTTTTTCTTCCTTCTTATCGGCTGAGAGTCAACTACATGACCTGCAAATAACTGCCTACAACTAATGCTCTGCTCATGCGTAGTACTGTCTAAATGTGTTTTGCTGCAAACAATATTCTGCTCATGCGTAATTGTAACCATGATCTCTGGTGAAAATTGGCAGATTGTTCCCCTGAGCTGTCCGAGAGTGATTTAAATAAGAAAACAAATTTGATGATCGAATGCAAAAACAATTAGTGAACTCGGTTATCGAAAAATATAGTTGTTATTTTTATATAGTTATTCGACTAGTTTAGATCTGTTATTTGTCTCGCAGATCAATTATTTGCCTCAGCCTTTGGCTTCGGCAAATAATTGATCTGAACTCCACTGACAAATCACGATGTTTTGCTCAACTTCCTCCAATAATTGTTAAATATTGACTATATGTCATGCCCACTGTCATGATGTCAAATTTCATTTCCTTTCCAGTGCAAAATATCTCAGCAAGGCTGACACCAAACCCAACTGAGCCACCAGTGAATGCTACAGTGCGCGAAGCTAAGAGAGTCATGATGTCACTGGCACCCAATCGACAGCAGATAGAAACCCATATGGCCAATGTATCGAGTAAACTTGGTCAGATCAAAAGCATGTCCATGTCACTGCCTTTTGCTCTGTACCTTAAGGACGATGCATTAGTGACGCTGGTTCCATCGACACGAACCATTGAAAATCCTTTCCAAAACGAGATTTCTTTTGATTTCAAGACTAATGTCAGCGAAGGCCTGCTGATGTATATGGGTGGAGAGCCTCAAGAGAGCAGGAGAACCAGACGGTCTAACCGGCTGGTGGGTGTCTAATATATAGATTTAGCCAAGCCTAATTGCAATAACTGACGATAAAGGAAGAAGAGAATTATTTTTTCTTGGATCAGAAAGTCAAAAAATGACTAATTGTGAGCATGTAATTGTTCAGCGTGTGGTTTTGCTATTTTTTCCAGTTAAATGTTAACTATACCCAACAAGCCTAACCAAGATTGTAGAAATTACGTTCGCAATATATCAAGCAATTTCCAAGAGACGATTGTACAAGGAATATGTCAGAAGAAAAGTCAACAACGTGTCACGGAATAATTTGCGCCGAAAGTTTGCCTTTGCGAGTACTCCTTCCTTCTCCCC